ATATTCTAATTTTTAATTATTTTCTATATTACACATGACAAATAGAATAATAAATTCTGATTCAAATTATAAATTGGCACAATATAATTTTTTTTCTTATCGTACTGTTTTTTGACGGTGAACCGGCCACTCTAAAGGCTACGCAAGGTGTGAAAACCCCAGAGAATGTTGACTTCGGTGACGCGTCTCTGCAGACAAGCTTGGCTGTCACAACTCGTCCTTCTGCTGCATCTCTTAATCCAGCTTCGCCAATCCACTGAAAGATTAATTAATTGATAAAGTGATTGACTGATTAATTGATCATAATATAATTGAAAATAATGTCAAACTTTGTTACATATTTACTAGAAAATACAAAGTGTTTGCAACCTAACATAGGAAAAAGCGGTAAATAATAAATGAAAATGACATCAAATTAGTATAATCATCGTTTCAAATATGCAAAAAACGTCCTCCTTTAAACGTCCGCGACCGCTGCAAGGACTAATTATTGATACAATATAGAGATAACAAACAGTAAATGTGATGATTGGATCGATTAGCATTTATATATTGCTTCGATATGAAGGAATTATCTCTTCATTTTTCTCGAACAGTGCCGCTCTACACGGATTAATTACGGTAATCTTCGATTACCGTAATTACATTCATCGAAATCGTTTAATTGTAAAATTTTAGTTCCGAAGGTTCGTTTAGTATATCTCGAGCAAAGATGATGCGGCTGAACTTGCGATTTGCGCTACAAACGAGCGATACGCAAATATTTCTCTCAATCATTCTCGGCGAGTGTGCTATCGCGGACTCCGTCCGTTACTGCCTAATTACATGACTAATTGTAATTTTACACTCGCGCGTAGTGATAGAGCGACAAATTACTTTTCTCTTCCACCAACCTGGAGGAACGTCCTGCCTTCGTCTCGGAACAATCTGAAGGGCGGCTCGGCATCGGAGAGATTCCTCAGCTCGGACCATCCCGTTCTTCCCAATTGCTTGGCACCGGCAATCCCGCATACAGGAGTGGTCACACCTAGTTTCGCAAGGTAATTTATATACGTGTTAAGCGATCATGTAAAAGAAATGAAGCGGGGGATAATGAGCGAAATGAACGCTAACGGGAATTTTGTTGGAGAAGCGCTAGATGAATTTTTATGAAGGCTATGCGGTAAGCTCTTAAATATTAGTCTTTTATCCTGAGAAAAAGCGATCAATTCGCTTTTCTTGTGTTAATATAGATATCGTTTTGCCAATTACATTTTGCTTTATGCAAAAATGTCCGTCCTTTTATGTAGAGAAAATAATATTATCTTTAAAAAATAGAATAAAAATAGAGTTGTAGACTTGACTTCTGTACTGAACAGAATCAAACCCAGAATCGAAATGTTTGCAGTTGACTTCGTTGGTAAGTACATTTAAATACATTTGTTTTCGAATTAAATCTTACCGCTTTATACCTAATATTATTTATAATAACTAATTGCAGAAGCTCTTAGGAAATTGACTTATATTTGATTAGTGTTATCTTTGTCGAGCTAATTTTTATTTAATGCTAGTGATTTACCTTCGAAGCGAATCTCCGCGTGAGGATATATTATCTGGCCCCGTTGTGGTAAAAAAACATACGGTACTCTCTCCACGTTGCCATTGTTGTTGACAAAGCCAGCAACATTGCATTCTGAAAACATTGAGATATGTATTAAATCTGTTTAAAAATCGTATAAATTATTACAAACATTTATTGCAATATAACTCTCATTGCACTAATCAACAAAACTGATTATTGCATAAATCTATAGATGTATGATATGTTAATATTTATGTAAATCAATTTATTCAATAAAAAATGTAAGTAAGTATATGTATTGATCATTACATTAAAATTAATTTATTTATTTAGCATATTTTATCGCCGATTTAAATTAGATGCAATTTCTTATTAGTAAAACAATTAATTAAATTAAAAAAAATAATTTCTAATCAACACATGTCAGGATAGTTCAATGCAGAAAAATAATTACATAATTTTATATATTATAAAAAAAGAAGTTACGAGAACTTGTAAACTCTACAAATAAGTGTTTTTCAAGAAAGCATAGAATTAAAGTGACGACGACTAGTTTTTTTTCCGTGCAATCACAGGTCCATTTTACCCAATAATTTCGGTGGATGCGCAAGACAGCTTGTAATTTCAGACAAAATATCGCCCCCGGCCGACCCCACTATTTTGCTCACATTTGAATAAATTACGAGGATCCGGCTTACATCGAAATCTCACAAGCCTCGAGGAAACGCGGCGAGCCTGCACGAACACGAACTTCGCGAGGAGAGCCCTGCAAAATCGGATCACATTTCCTTTTTTTTCTTTAAAAAGAAACTACAGTTCGGAAGTATAACGAGATGTCTCTGAGAAGACACGTTGTAATCACATGACAGGCTTCCCTGTACCGTAGTTCTGGAGCAGCAATTGCACGACATGAATGCGCCTCAAACATAATGTAACATATAATTTTTGAGTCGATAAAAAAAAAGAAATTTCGTTCTTCGAGAACATTTAACAGAAAATAACTCAATATTAACATTTGCATTTCTAACAAATATTAACAAGTTATTATAATTTGAAATTCTTTGACAAAATGTAATTGAGTGATTATTGACATTATCAAAAATTGCAATTATTTAATTTGAATAATTATAAACTTCATTAAAGGAAAAAAAACTTGATTCTCTTTATTAAAATAATTTTTAATACTTGTAATAATCTGAAGAATTAATAAGCAATTAAACTTTCTGATCATAGAATTGTCCATTATAATATTAAATTGTTAAATTTAGAAAGAGAAATAGATATTTT